CATTCAGTATAGCTATTTAATGTTCACTGTAGTTATTTGAGCTCCACTGTAGCTATTCATAGTGCTCCTTACCTACTTTCTCGCTTCTGTAGCTATTTAATTCTCTGAGAACTATTTAATGTCTACTGTAGGTATTTCTCCATTCAGTAAAGCTATTTAATTCTATCACAGCTATTTGATGTTTACTGCAGCTATTTCACCATTCAGTATGGCTACTTAATCGTTCACTGTAGGTATTTAATGTTCACTGGAGTTAGTTGAGCTCCACTGTAGGTATTCATAGTACTCCTTGCCTACTTTCTCGCCTCTGTAGCTATTTAATTCTCTCGCAGCGATTTAATGTTTACCGTAGCAATTTCACCATTCAGTATAGCTTGGTGTGTGGGTGTGGGTGTGAATATTCTTTTCTGTCAGGGCAGGATACTCACACACATCCCACACTGACATGATTCATCATTTTCTGTGTTGAAATTGGTCAAATTCTCAGAGGAACTTAAGGCTTGACGTAATGACAACACACAAATAAGAACTAAATATAAAGATGGCTCGTTGCCTTTCTGTATCAACTTCACGATATGCTTGAAAGGGCGCGATAAATGAAGAAGATGTCTGAGAATCCAACGATCGATTGAAAACGATTTTTTTTCTGTTGTAAAACTTTTTTAGTTTCTTTAAAAGAGCGATCGATGGATTCTAACAGCTGCATGATCGACAGCCAACGGATCTTCGTCGATTGACACAAGCTAATACCACTTAGCCGCTATGGCTGAATGGTTAAGATGTTTGGCACATATCCACAAGATATCGTGTTCGCACCTCGACTCCATCAGTCATAGAATGACCTTGGACAAGTCACTAACGGCTGTTTTGTGTCGGACAACCCATCCGATAACAAATTGACTACATAGTTGACGTGCACTAAATAGTTCTTGTGGCTAGTATGTGTATGTGGTTAGTCAGTATGTATGGGGAGCTTAAGAAATTAAGCGAGAAGAACTCTGAGTCAGGCCGGCCTTCTGTCCAGAGCTACATTTAGTAATAGATGTAGGGAAAATATCGGGCTTCTCGAAACTGTCATCGGACAGCGCCCTACACCGAAAGGTAGCCGAAAGGCGGGGTATTCTTCTTTTTCTTCTTCTTCTTCTTCTTCTTCTTCTTCTTCTTCTTCTTCTAATACCACTTTCTGATTGAATATCCTGATTCAAACCATTGTAGATAAAGAGAAAAATACACGAATATTCGTTCCGTGATTTAACTTACTAATTTAACGTATTTGACTATATCTTTACAATTATTCAATGTTTTCAAAACCTCACGTGCAAAATTAGGAAGATCCTTGACATTGGTCTTTGATATTTCAACAAACGCTATATCATCACCTGCAATTGAACTATCAATGAAGTCCTTTGAACTAAATATATTTCCATTCATGGAACCGGTAGAAGAGCGTATTTGGACCTTGATTGGCTCATTCTGATAGAAGCACATCACGAGAATATCGTTCAGTCGCTGTCCAAAACAAAAATAAGAAGTATAATTCTTCAATGCTTTAACAAAATTAGGGCCACGATCGCTTGCGAATTTAACAAACGAGATATCGTCAACACCAAATCGTTTAATCTTTTTTTGCAGTGGCTAAGAAATACAAATCATTTCAGTAAAAATAGAAAAAAAAACTCACTGAAGTGATACTTTTGGAAGTTTTGTCTTCCTCTTCAAATGGACAACAGCAAAGATGATACGATCGATATTCGAATTGATCATTGACGAACGTGGTCACAATACCCAGATAAGAAACTTGATGAACAGGATCACTCCACATATCGGGGCAAAATGTAATACCATCGTTTTCAAGAGGTTCGACGAGCTCTTTCACTATACGAAATCGATTCGATCAGCAAGCTTTGAAACATGTACAGCGGTTACATCAGCACCTCTCAATACTTGATCGACATCGATGTTTCCATGACGATGACGAGCACCTAAGAAGAAATGATACACAAAAGTATTGTAATTTTAAAACAAAACACGTATACATACCAATAGAAATACATTCTTGAATCAAATGACGTAACCCATCATCTTTGACGATTGAAAAAAGACGGATATTTTGACATATCCGTTTAGCTTGTAAATCTTTTACTTTCAGAACTTCAGATTCTTTCAATTTTGAAGTTTTCGTTATATAAAACGTGGCCAAACTTTGTTGTGTCGAAGTTCCATCGGCTTTTGAATTATCACAAACATGCTGATTAAGAAGTCTAGTACTGTTAGAAATAAAAGAATATGTGGTAAAGCATTTTCGACATGAAACAAAGCCCTTGATTCGTTCACGATGACCACGATTATTAACGATCGCAGGAAAACCAAACGAATTTCAGCAACCAGACATTCGTTTGCCCGTATTTTCTACAACAATATATTCATCGGGGCTTGTTTTAAGCATCATTCGAAGTTGAGAACATGTAAATTTATCTGAATTACGATTTGAAAATGATGGATTGACAAGGAAGCATTGGAATCAGAGGAAGTAATATTTTCGGCACGTGATGTGGAAATTGGTGACAAAATTTCAGGAGACGGCATTATTCCTTCTACTGAAAGGAGGGTATTACGAAAAACGAGTTAAATGCGTTCGCTCGCTGGTCCAATAGGAAAGCAAATGCATAAACTTAACTAACCTCAAACAATATCCTGTATGGATAGGTCTGATCGAAGGTAGTCGGGGTCGGGGAACACGATTGCGTTGTTGGTTTCTTGAAATTTTGTATTTTGCTGCTTTTAGGAAAGAGACTTTTTTCGAAAAAAATCGTTCTTATAGTTTGAGGAAAGCTTGTATTAATGTATATGTTGAATAATTACATACGTTGTCTATGTATGCATCTTATTGAGAGGAATTCACGTATGTTTGGAAACTATGGTATCATATACTATGACATGTTAGTATGTAGCCTGAGGTATTGGTATGATGGAATGTTTCTGACTGGATTTAAGATGTATAAGTTATGCAGTTCTGATTTCAAGAAGTAAATCACACAAGTTTTATTAAATATTAATAAAATATGATACGCAATTAAAGACAAGTCGAACATACAGCGCATTATAAATATTTTGTAACTGTCAGATTAGTTCGAAAATCATGTGATTGTTAACTTGTATTGTAGCACGAATAATTTATTCAAACTTAACACGTTGAATTCTAGATTACTGCATCTACGAACGCTCACAAACTGTGCAAGTACTCAGGAGCCTTGTCTTATTCTTCTCAAAATCGTGAGAAAGAACGGGGTGGATATGCTAGCAAAAACGGCCCTATTTGGAAACCATAGTGAAACCCCTATTAACTATACATAGTTCGAAAAGAAATTCATAC